TAGCTGCCTCGTCTTGAGCCTCTTTCTCTAGGAGCACTGGTGCCAGCAGGGGAGAGCACCCTCAAGGCCTTGTCCAGCCATGATCACCTCCCCAAGTTCCCACCTCCAGATATGATCGCATCGGGGATTACAGGGTTGACATAAGGAAATCTGAGGGAGGCAGTCAGTCCACAGAAGGTTCTTTCTGCTGTATCGTGTTTTCTTCAAGTTTGCCAGTGAAAGGGTGAAGGAAGTACTGTTAGGGAAGCAGTGTCAAGAGAGTGATTTTTCCAGAATGGTGGAGACTTAAGCATGCTTTTAGATTCATGAGACAGAGCCACGGAGAAGGGGAAGGTGGGTAAGGGACAAAGTTAAGGTCCCTGAGGAAACTAGGGAATGCTTGTGTCTCTTTACAAATAACCAGTTCTATAGACCAATGATTATTTATTCAATTTACTCCTCCCAGGGGTCTTCCTCATGACATCATTATCAACTTTTCCAGTCTCTGTAATCTTATCAATTTAAAAAAGTAGGATACTTTAGATAATACCCATGGCCATCTTTGGTCCTCAACTTTTGTATTTATAGCTTTTTCTATAAAGCCTACCGTCCCAGAACTGGAAACGGCTTTTGGAGTTAATGCATGGTTGGTCTCCCTGCTCCCAAGCCAAAATTTACTGTAAATACACTCACCTTCAAAAAGCAGCCACCATGCATACTGTTGAGACCCAGTTCAACTATGTTCAGCCATATTAAACTTTAGACTATAGAGTACAAATATTTGTCAAGAGACAGCTGGCCCAGTCTATGCATAGGAACACCATCTTAATTAACTAGTGGTCTGGAGAAGTGGAATTCTTGGCAAAGAATTGCACTTTGAGCTGTCTAAACTCAAGCAACAAGTTTTGGGGCTCTTTTCCCCCCATTTGTTCATTTTGGTTTGACATCCTCATATAGGACTCCACCCAGCAGGTGCTTAGAAAGGCTGAAGAGGCAATTTTTTCACCTTCAGGGGGATTGAAAACCATACACTGTTTAGACCTGGAGCTCTTCCAGACTGTCTGAAATGTCTAGGCAGCCCAAGACAGTCATATGGTACAGTTTTTAGGGACTGCTGACAGTGGGGGAGGGGATTTTCTTATTTCTGTCAATTTTTTAAGTGTCTCTCCAGCAGTAAAAATTATGCCTGTGGACACTTTATTCATTAGCTTCAGTTTTTGTGTGCTTTTCCGGGGGTGTTTTTTTCAACAGTGGCGTTTGTCAGCTTTTCATGGGATTCTGTGTGAACCCTTGGAAAAATCTTTCCTAAATGGGAGCAATGCCATTTATTTTACATCTTTGTGAAAATCACTTCACAAGTCTTGGTAGTCCAGTTATGTTGCTCAGTGGTCATTTCTCTGGGTACCATCAGTAGTTAAAGAATGCAGGAGTCCCTGGGAGCAACTCTGTAGCCACAAGTCTTCTCTGCATAGAAGAGCTCTCTAGAAGAGCTCACAGTGCCGTCTTCTGTCTGCTTCTGGGACAGAGGAAATCCTGCTTATGATCCAGGTGGAGTCTCAGGTAAGCACATCCAGTCAGAATGTTATCCCTTTTTGTTGGTGTGAGGGTGGAGAATCATCCATTGGAGCACAGGTGATTCTATTTCTACCCCCCACCCTCCAGGCATATGTATGATCATTCCACCTGAAGGTCACGGCATCCCCTTCTACTTCCTCACAACGTTGCTTCATCAGCCATTCCTCTCCTATATTTTCCAAATGCCTACATTTAAGAAATAAAAATAAAAGCAAACCGCCCAGCTTTACACCAAGTACCCCATGTCTCTTTCCGTGTGTGGTCAAGGTCCAAGATTTATCTAACACAGCGTCTCACTTCCCGCTGACTCTTCGACCCCCCACAGTGAGGTTTCTGCTTCTATTTTACCCTGAAATTGCTCTGAGGCAAAGAGCTCCCTACCAAATACGATGTCCCTTTTCTGGCCTAACTTTCTTGGTTTTTCTGTGGCATCTAATACCTCTGCCCACACTTTTCTCCTTTGGCCTCTCTTGGCCCCAGTGTTACCAGCTTCTCCCACCTCCATCTCTGACGGGAAGTGTGGTCCTCACTTGTGCTCTTCTTTCTGGCTGCCTCTTGGAGGGCGGCATTTTTCGAGATTATATTTTTGTTCCTTATCTTTTCTTTCCCCAGTGTTTCCATCCATATACACTGCTTTTACTATTAGCCATATACTGATGACTCCAAAGTCTATCTTCAGTTCAGAACTCTCTTCTGAGAACCTAATGTTGTTTGGATGTTTCATAGGTACCTCAGTCTCAAAATACTCAAAGCTTATTAGCTTCTTTACTAAGCTCATGCTTCTTCCTGTGGTCCTTCATTCAGCCTCTTAAATTAGACACTCTGGGGCCATTGCCACCTCCCTTTACTCACCAGCCCCAGGTCTTAATGCAGTTAAAGCACCAGCAAATTCAACTCCTTTGTAGTTCCATACCCAACCGCTTCTACCTGTTACCACCCTAATGCCTCACAGATTATTATGAAAATTAAGTGACATACCACATAATTAATGTGCCTAGCATCTGATAAAAATCTTAATTGAATTCCAAACCAAGAAAGCAGCATTTCCAGGTGTTTCTATAGTTTGTTATATACAGTCCACTGGGAATTAACATTTCCTCTTTTAAGCCATTACAATTTATGTGATTTACACACTAAACTGAAATAGCAAGGCACTAAATAAAGATTTAAGCCCCTGGGAGTTCCAGAAATTAGAGGATTATTCTGACTTTGTAATACTCAAGTGACTCCTGATGTGATTTAAATTTCCAGTAAAAAGTTATGTAGTGACAACGACTTCTAGAAGAAAAAAAATTGAAGACATAAGAAAATGAAGAGGACAAAAAGCAAAGAAAGATTTAATTGGGGCAGACAGTCTGAGTTTAAGGGAGAACAAGGAATTTTCCTAGAACATTTGTTTCTCAACTGTTCTCATCTCCTAATAAAAACTCAAAAAATAAAATTTTGCCAATGATTGTTGTAGTAATATGTTGTTTTCAATTTTAGGGTGACTGTTGCTGATTGAATAAGAATTGGGTATTTCCTTCCAGATCATAGACTGGTACATTTTACCAGCTGCATCCCTTTTCTGTCTGCTGTTTATCTGCTATAGCCACTGCTTGTTGACCATTGTTCTGGAAGGTTTACCAGAAGTACAGAAACTGGACAGATTTTTTTTCAAAGAATATTTAATCAAGCAGAATAAACAGAACTTTGCTCTCTTTTTAAAGAAGGAATCTTTCATCATACCAAGATTCTAGGGTTAGTCAAACGCTTTCATCGTGGATTACTGCAGTGTTGCTGAGGAGAAGTTAGTCTTCCGAGTTGGTGGGTGAGGCTATGAGATACAAGGAACCCCCAGAGTCTACAGTCCCAACTGGAAAGATCCTTAATAATGGATAGTATTATATCTCTCAGCATTTACTGTATTAGTTTACATTTAGCAGATCTTGGTTAAAGTGGCCTCTTTGGTTACAAAAGTTTTAATGTCATTCTCTCACTTCAAACATCTGTTTTTCTAAATTTCTACTTTGGTCCTTCATAAACAGAAGGAAGAGGGAACGATTCATAACAGTCCATTCCAACTGCAAAGAGACCCAGGCTTCTAATAATTAATGGATGAACCTGAGAGATTTGAAAAGACATTAAGTAAGTGTGCAGACTGCTGCGGGTTGGTTATATTTCTGATATATTCCTAGCAACTCTCAGTAGTGAATAGGCAACCATGGCAGTCCTCCTTAGTAAAAAGCTCAGGCAACAATCTGGTGATGTCATTTTAGGGGCACTAACCTATCTCTCTGACCCAAACCTTTCTTCCTTTTTGGTTTTTCCAAGATGGTACAAATCTCTGCATTGATCAAGGTTTGGGGTTCAGAATGAAGGTTTTTATGAAATAAAAGTATGATAGAACTGCATAGTTATATTGTGCAACTTCCATAAGCCCTTTATTAAAAAGACTCAACTTCACATGGCAATGAAAATCCACTGGTTTCCCAGAAGATGTTGTGCAACCTTTCTTTACTCTGAATCTTTTTTATAGAAAATTTTGTTTTTATGGATCACCACTCAGTTTGTAGAGAGAGAGCATTTCTCTGGTCTCTGACAATCTCTTTCCTTGGTTTTCCTTACATTATCTTTTCTACCCATATCCTCTTTCCTTCTCCATGAATCTGGATCCTTCCCATTTATTCTTTGTGTCCAAGGTTAAGGATACCCAACATATCGTTGACTAGGAATTCTAGACCCATGTTTTATGTTATAGTAGCTGGTAGCCACATATGTCTGTCAACCACTGAAAATATGACTAGTGTGACTGAGGAAATGAAATTATAGTGAAGTTTAATTTTATTAATTTAAATGTAAAAACTTAAGCTATTTAACAGCCCTAAACACAGTTTTATTGTTTTAATGGGACTACACCTCACTGTAAGCTTTGAAAATTTTAGCATTGAATTGAGATGTACTAAAAATATAAAATACACACTAGCATTTCAAGACATAGTATTAAAAAAAGAATGGACAATGTCTCATTAAATGACTAAAGGTTGAAATAATATTTTGGATAATTAGTCTAACTGAAATACATTACTAAAATTAGTGTTACCTCCTTTTTATTTTTAAATGTGGCTTTTAGAAAAGTTATAGATGTGGCTGTCATTCTAATGAACAGGACTTTCCAGATTATCACATTCTTTAGGATGGAGTGTCTACTGAATACAATAGTCCCTTATCTTCAATTTTGCTATCTGTGGTTTCTGTGACCTGTGGTCATCCACAGTCCAGAAGGAGATGATCCTCCTGACATACCATCAGAAGGCCAATGGTAGCCTAATTCTGTGTCATCCACCTCACTTCAACTCATCACGTAGGCACTTCATCATCTCACATCATCACGAGGAGGGTAAGTACAGTACAATGAGAGATTTTGAGAGAGAGAAATCACATTCACAGAACGTTTATTACAGTATATTGTTATAATTGTTCTATTTTGTTATTGTTAATCTCCTACTCTGCCTATTTTATAAATCAAACTTTGTCATAGGTATATAGGGAAAAACACGGTATATATACAGTTCAATACTGTCTGTGGTTTCAGGCATCCACTGAGTCTCTGGGAACATACCCTCACAGGTAAGGGGGGACTGCTCTACAAACAAGCCTCTTGGTTATACAGATCACCTTTCATTGTATAAATTCAATGCCCAGAGAGTAGCCTCCCTCTTTAAGGTGAGTGAAAAATGGGTGGAGGAAAAAAGCTCATACTAAAGCAATCATCAGTTCTAAAACTCAGTATCATTAAGAGTAATAGTTGCAGATGCCTCAGGGGTGGGTAATGAAGACACTGAGCCAAGGGAGTTGAGATGGCTGGCTTGGGGGAGAGAGGACAAGAAGGCATTACCAGGCAGGAAATACTCCAGGGACATTTTCAAGAGGGCCAATCAGGTGCTGATTTAAGAGGGAGGCCTTTAGACATTAATATCTTGGGTTCCTGTAGGGGTGAGTGTACTGTAAAGGAGCAGGAAATTGAGAAGAAGAGGGAAACATCTTGAAAAGAAGCTTTGGGATACATTGTAGACATTCTTCCAGAGGCATAAGTTTAAAATGCATGGCATTGTGATATCCCTTCTGGTATCAGATAATATTCTTCTTCCCGATTTTACTCCTGGTCTTCTGTGGAACTGGCTTGAAGTTCTTTCACAGATGCTGCAGCTGCCCCTGTCACTGTATTTGGTCCTTAATACCTACTTCAATGTCCTGTTGAAGAGACAGCTGGGTAGGTGGGGAATAAACTAATTTCCCATAGTCTTCTAAAGTCCAAAAATGTAAGATTTCAGTGGTTATTGATGTCATTTAAACTCATGGCTATAATGTTCCATATTTATCATGTCCAATCTTGTCGTTTTACAGATGTGAGAGAAAGAGAGAGAGAGGAGAGAGAGAGAGAGAGAGAGAGAGAGAGAGAGAGAGAGAGAGAATGTTGAGAGTTTCTGTGCCTTGCCCAAGCTCAGACAATAGTCAGGATCAGCTGAAGCTGCTGGAAGTAGAACAGGGACTGTGTCTTCAGGCTCCTGAATCCCAGCTGAGCTCTACTGCTACCATACCGCTTATGCCAGTTTTAACTGATGTGCCAGACTAGCTGTAACTTTAACTTGTAATTTGAGTTCTCTGTAGAGCCCAGTAGATTCTGGACTTCTGGCTGCCCCTGTGTGCCAATGATCTGGTAAAGATTACTGTGTTTTATTCAATCCAATACATTTTGAATTTTAAATATGTTCTAGTCACAAACAAAATTAATTTTGTAAGATTTTTAGGGGATAAAAATGATAGCAAAAATTCTAAATGCCTAAGTTTGGCATTAAGAAAGTACTCTCAAAAATCATTATTTACTATTTGTTTTAGAGATTTCCACTTGATCATCAGCAGTATATCATGAGAGAAGGATTTGGTTAAAACCAGCTACCTGAAAATTAAATGAATTAAAATTAAACGCTATTTTTAAAATTGTTATGTAATATGTGGAATTCATGTTTGCTATACTTATAAGGAGTTATTTATATATGAAGTCCTGTGGGCATGAGATAAAAAATGTGTGATTTACGAGCAAAGAAAAATAATAGCTTTAAATCCTACTGCCCTGCATTTCACATTTCTACCTGACTTATAAGCCTTTTAAAGTCCATGCTATTAAACAATTTAAAATTTCTTTAGCTATATGTGTTTCACTAATATTAACTCCCTAACTAGCCACCCTGTGGCATTTTGCATGTTATTCTTCATTTTTTCCGTCTATATTTTCTCTCATCTAGCTTTTTCAGAAATGTTATTCCTATTTCTGTCACGCGGTCACCTTTTAGTCTGTCTTGCAAAAATGTAACATCAGCAGCCAAATGAACCTAGGAAAGAAAGAAAGACAAAAACAGCCCTGGGTCATTAGGGTGTTTATTTAAAACTCTAAATTTTTCTGTCTCTTTTTTCCAGCTTTATGTACCCCATAAGGAGCTAACTTTATGGAATGATAAAAAGAGCTTGTTCTGTGGATGAAGGGCCCTTTGCTGAGTGTTCTCCAGCTCAGTGGTGTGAGTCTGCAGAGAGAAGGGCAGTCCAGGCCAGGCCCAACTTGGATGACTCCGCTGCAAGCCCAGCCAAATGGGCCCATTGTTGCTCACAGTGCAAGGCTGAACAATGGATCCATCTCAAGAAGAACACAAATTTCCACCTCAAAGAGAGCCTTGACCCAGTGTGCCTTGCCAAGTGGAATTTCCAAGGATAAATGTATTCTTAACTGATTCCTCTCCAACTGACTTGCTATAAATCATTCTGTCATGAGCTAAATAACATAATCATGTGTCCTAACAACATTTAGCAATCACTTAAGGCTTTGAGAGCTTTGGAAAAATATTGATTAAATAAATTATAAATATAAAATTAAAGATTAAAATTATAGACATGAATATTTGAAAGCCAGGCCTTCTCTTCCACCGTAAAGCATTTTCTGTTTCCCAGACATTGAAGCCCTTGGGGCTTCTTCTCTATTCATTAAAATGTACTCACATAATAGCAGCATATTGCTGATCTATCTTCAATAGAGTATACGTTCAGCTATTTAACTTATTGAGATGAATAAGATAAATAAGCAAAAGTACCTAGTGAAAGCACATAATGAGTGAAAAAGCCTGGGTCTAGTAGGCAATTAATTACTATTTATTGAATCTTATTTGACCCACTCCCCTCTCTTACTAAGAATCCCTTGACCCACCCATCCATATTTGTTAAACCACAGACTTTGTTGTGCCAAATTACCCAAGTCATGGAGGGTACAAAACCCTTGCCTTTGTGAAGCCCACCTACCATGCAGTAGAAAGATGCAGACTGCATTTTGAAATATAGAAGCTAAATTAACCCTCATTCTCCCCTGCTCAAGATTTCCTTTGTCTTTGTTAAAATGTAAAGGAAAATCAATTAAAATAACAAGGAATGTACATTGAAGCTACTTGGGTATTTGGGGCCACATGAGGCCTGATATCTCTTTGTCATTCGATATATATAACCAACTGTCAGCCGTGAAAGCTGCAGACCTTCTTCATCCTATTTTTGACTTGGTTTTATGGTTCATCCCTTTGCCAGTAAGCTCTCAGAACAGTTTCATTCCCCTTTCTTGACTTCATGGCTATCAGTTGTTAAGACAAGCCTGAAAAATAGAGTAGAAGCATGAAGGATCTGTGTGAATAATACATTATTTATATTATTTGTATTTTGTTCTTTTGGATTAACTGTGACTATATCCTTCCCATAATTACCACTCATAAATAAGAATTATATGGCTGCCTCATTAATAGGCCAACACATGTCTAGCCTTTGGCTACTCTCTGGTCCCACATTTCTTAATAGTTAAACTTTTGGAAAAATGAGACTTATTTGACTATAACCTCTTTTTAAGCTGCCCTTGGCTCATGAGTTTTTGACAGATTATCTTCTTCCTGCATGTCCCCAAAACAGCTTTTACCAAGGTCTTTCTTGACTTTTTAGTTCTTACAAATTGTGAATATCTTTCAGGCTTTAACTTAGCCTCTCTGCTATCCTTGATCTTGTGAGTCACCCCCTCTTCTTGCAATACTCTCGGCCTTTGTGTGGCTCCATTCTTCCCTGATATTTTTCCCACATCTGATTCCTCCTTGTTTGTGTCCTTTGCAGCCTGTGTACTCTCTCTCCCGTCTACTGATACTGTTTCTTCGTAGGGTGCCATCTGTGACTCCTTTTACTTCTTCCTCGACACTCTCCCTAGACATTTTATGACAGCTCCAATGCCTCTTTGGTTTGCATCTCTGTGACTTCCAGAAATCTCTAACAGCTGCCTGCTGGACATGGCCACTTGTGCGTGTGTCAGACATCCCATCCCTGCAGCTTTGAAAGTGAGCTCCTCACTCTGCCTCTCCCAAGCCCCGGTGTACTCCCCCTGGCTTTGCTCTCTTGGTTAATTGTGCCATCATCCTTATGTATTGTTCAAATCCTAAAAATAATTCCTGAATCTTTTTTTTCTCAATCTTATCCCTTTTAGTCAAATGATAACCAAGTCTTAAGTCTCTTCTACATTCTTACTGTTGATCGAATCAGTCTTCTCTCCACTACTACTATCAGGGCTTTATTCTGATTTTTCCTGAGGTTACCCTCATCAACTGCTCTCCCTCCCTGCAGCATTGTACCTACCAATACACTTTCACTTTGCTGACAAAGGCATAAAATTCCTAAAATGTAGATTTCAAAATATCATTCCCTTATTTATAAACCTATAAGTCTCTATTGCTTTCCATTTAAAAATCCAAATTCCTAGGCTTATCATATATAAATCCCTTTTTTAAAAATCAGGCCTCTATAAAGAATTTAAACTTCCTTTCTCATGACAATAATTTTCTCAATCTGCATGTCACTCATATTGAACTAATTGAAGTTCATAGTTCCTTGAATCAAACATATTGTTGTGCCTTTGATGTCTTCTATTACTTGGAATATTAGTTTCCCCTGCCCTCCTTACCCCAAGGCCTTAACCTCACTCCTATTTATCCTTCAAATGCCAGCTTAGAGTTTCTCTAGGACATCATCCCTTCATCCTCCTACCCTACCCCAGGTCCTCCCTTAATCATACTTCTTTTACTTCTTTACGCATCTGACTTCTCTACTGGACAGAAGATTCTTGAAGGGCAGCAATGGTGTTGTTCATCTTTGTATGCTCAGTGCTGATCATTGTCTTAGTCAAATCAATGAACAATACAGTGTGAAGGCCAGCCTTCAAGAGAGCCCGCAATGGTCCCCGCCCCTGTTATTCACACCCTCAGGTGGTACCCTCCCACACTGCCCCAGGTTTGGCTGCACCTGTTGTGATTAGAGCTACAAAGAGGCCTATGTGGCAAGAAACTTCCTGAAGCCTCTAGCCAACTGCTAGCAAGACATGGAAGCCATACGAACTAGCCTGGAAATTGGTTCTCCAGCCTTGGTCAAGTCTTCAGAGACTGCAGCCCTAACCGAGAGCTTGACTGCATGCGTATTTAGCTGTGAAAGGCTCCAAGTCACAGCCATCTAGCAAAGCTGCTCCTAGATTTCTGATGCTCAGAAACCATGTGAGATAGTAAACATTTGTTGTTTGAAGTGGCTCTATTTGGGGGTTATTTGTTACACAGCATTAGATAATGAGTATACCCAGAAAAATGAAATATGTGCTTTACCATTTCCAGGGCACCTCTGATAATGCCACAAAGTAAATTGCAGTAGCACAGAGAAGATCGCCCAGCAGGGAGCTCCTCCACAAACTCCACCAGAGGATTCTTGTCTAGAATCAGGGAAAATTCATTTCTGCTTGAATTGTTACAGGTCACACTTGGTGTAACTCCCAAGTACATCTTGAAAGCAACCTAATAAGAAGGGAAAAAAATTTACTCAAACTTGATCTAGAACATATCTATTAGTAGGGCACTCAAATACCCTGTTCAGTCATTCGATACAATGATTAGGAACGTGGATTTTGTTGTCAGGAAATCTGGGCTCACACTTAGCTTTGGAATTTACTGATCCTCTCTGCCTTGTGCAAGTCTTAACCCCTTTTATTCTTATCGAATATCCTAAGGGACTAGTTTTCTGTGGGGACAATATGGTTTATGAAATAGTTGAAGCATTGTTTCAAAAAACCTTTTTCAAAAATAAATATTCTTTAGGAGGGTAACAAATTACAGAAATTAAAGTATTATTAATCATGAACATACTAGCATGATGGTTGTCAGTGAGCCTAGCAAAGGATAAGATCCTGAATTAGAATGGACCTAAGATACATCTACCAGATAGGAAGGTGATAGAGCAGAGGGTGCTCTGGGAAGATTAGACCCAAGAGTGTGTTTTGGGAAGTAATGGGAGTCGTATCACTAAGGATGAAAAGTCTTTGCGAAGGAGCAAGTGGTAGTTGGTGAGAGGCACATAAATGAGTTATGAAATAATGTCTCAAAAATGTCTGCTCTCTTAAAGGGTTTAAAGAATTTTACAATGTAGAGATTGTGGAAACCTTGGAAACTATTTCTTTTATACATCCAGTTTCACAAATGAGTAAACTGGGATTCAGAGAAGTGAAATGACATGGCCAAGGTTATACAATAACTTAGCTCCTTGGTTTCTAGTTCCAGGCACTTCTTTTTCACAAAATGCATTGGCCTGGAATTTGAAGTTTATTAATGGAAATTTGTTAGCTTGATTGTTGTAGTCTTTCAAGTGCCTTAATTAATTCAATTTTAAAAATTAAGAGCAGTGTAGCTCAGAAATTGAAACAATTACCTTAAATGATTTATAAGTAGAAGTACTAACATGTTTATCATTCATTCATTCATTCATTCATTTGGTACTGACTGAGTACTGCCTGCCTAGCATAGTGCCAGGTACACAGTGGAAGTTTAATAACTACTTGAAAAACAAATTATTGAATGAGCATCCATTCTCTGTTTGACACCACGATTAGACCCAGAGCACAATAGTTAATAAGAAGTAGTTCCTGTTTCATAAGAGCTCATGGTCAAAAGGGGGCTGCAGATATTAAACAAATAACTACAATCATATGATAAGTTTGGCAAGTTCAATGTTATATGCTAGGAAGTAACCCTGAAAATATTTCCAGAGGAAGATGTCTATCCTGCTCATGAATATTGAGTAAGAGTTTGTTGGGTGGACAAGGTAGGGCAGGGTAGGGGGTTATTCTAAGTGAAGGGAACATGTCACAGATGTGTAATACCATGGTGAGGTTCAGAGGAAGTTGCATCTATCAGTATGGGCAGCAGGGAGCCCCAGATGTGTGAGTTGGCTAGGGCAGAATTGAATTTCCATTTTAAAGAAATATTCTTTGCATCATCATGGAGGATGGACTTAGGATTGAGGGTTAGGGTAGGCATGAGATCAGAGGCTAAAATAAGAAGTTACCATGATAGTGTAGGGAAGAAACGAAGAGTATCTTTCTCATTTTGTCTTTCTTTCAAAACTCAAACTCTCCCTAAACTTTTCAATATAAATTTCAAATAGCCCAAATCCTAAAATTTGGTTCAAGTCTCTAATGCTAGTCAGTTTTAAAATATATAAAATAAATCTTCCATTCGTTATGCTTCAGAAGATTGTAGACTGACGAGAATTAGACTTGAGATGGATTAATGATTGTGCATTGAGCATTGACCCCCCTATACAGAATTTTATTGTTGTTAACAACCATTTGATCAATAAATATGAGAGATGCCCTCTCAAAATAAATAAATAAATAAATAAATCTTCCATATCTTAAGCTGAAGTAGCAAAAATAGTAGTCTTGAGTAGCAAGAGAAAATAAACATCATGGACCTCCAGACTTTGAGACTTGATTTGGCTCCAAAGCAATTGACTGAGACCCATTTCTGCTAATGCTGATTCTGCTGGCTGGAAAATTCTTAAACTAAGTTTTTTTATTTTATTGAGAGTTAAGAATTACTTTGAGAATCAGAATTTCTTTCAGATTCTCAATCAAGTGGATGGCAACTGAAAATGGAGGCTGTGCCTTTTAAATTTACTCTAGTTCTCAGTGTTTTGCTTCTAGTTTCATGGCTCAGTATCCACCAGTAGGAGGCATTATCTGAACGGGGTTGGGAAATATTCATTCCTAGGGAATGACATTGTTTCCTTATCTGGCTGAATTCAGTCTGAGAAGGAGGACTGTTGTCTGTAATGAAGAAAGAGCTCCACCCTCGGTCACCGACACAACTGCTCTGCTAATAAATAAGCACAAAGCATTTCCCTTTGTTCATCTCCAACATGGATGCTTTTCAGGGGATTTTAAAATTCTTCCTTAACCAGAAAACTGCTATTGGCTACAGTTTCCTGGCTCTGCTGACCGTGGGAAGTGAGCGTCTGTTTTCACTTGTGGCTTTTAAGTGTCCCTGCAGCACTGAGAATATGGTCTATGGGCTGGTTTTCCTTTTTGCTCCTGCCTGGGTGTTACTGATCCTGGGATTCTTTCTAAACAACAGGTCCTGGAGACTCTTCACAGGGTGCTGTTTGAATCCCAGGAAGATCTTCCCCAGAGGCCATAGCTGTCGCTTCTTCTACGTCCTCGGCAAGATCACTCTGAGTTCATTGGTGGCTCCCACAATGTGGCTTTCCGTGGCTTTGCTCAATGGAACGTTCTACGAATGTGCCGTGAGCGGGACGAAGAGCTCAAGACTCCTAGGACTGATTTGCAAGGGTAAGCCCCCGGAGTGCTGGGAAGAACTCCACAAAGTATCTTGTGGCAAAACCAGCATGACCCCCGCGGACAATGAAGAGCTGAAACTGTCCCTGCAGGCCCAGTCTCAGGTAAGGAAGGACAGACTTGCCTTTTTGTCCAGCATAAGCAGTACTGTTGGCTTTGTACTCCTCAGCCCTGTTAGAACGCTTTAAAACTAAATGGAAATTGCAACATGAATCAGGGGTAAGACACTTTCAGGAAAAGCTTTTTAGAGGTTAGATGGCTTAGTAAAATTGCTGATTGGATTGTCTTTCCACTTCTGAAAGGAAAATATCCTCTGGGTTATGCATATGTAAATACTTAAGTACTTTAAAATAATCTCTCTAGGTTGACTCTGTAAATAATGCATGACACTAATTCATAATTGAGTGTTAAGGGCAGAGCTGTAATTAGAAATTGCTGCCTTCTATCAATTATTTTTAAACTGGTTTCTCAGAAAAACCCACACACAGAGCATTCACCTATTACAATGTAGCTGAACCAAATGAGTTAAACTTTTCAAAGTTGCAAGAAATATAATTACTATGGAGATTCCCTTGAATGATTTCTGTCAACTGCTGTCTCTCTATATAAATATTGTCAAGATTGAAAAGAATTTCCCCATAAAGTAGGAGTTGGCTGTCTTTAAATAGTCTTTAGTGAAAAGTGACCATATTCTCTGGGGACGTTACATCCTATGCTCTTTGTGCTGTACAGCTGAAGTTCTTACATTACTTTAGAAGCTCAGGATTTGGGGCATTGTTTTATTTAACAGAAAGAAAGCATAGCTTTACCTAACTGATGCAGGGAATCCTTCCAAGTGTATAAGCACAAATCCAGATGTGAAGCCTTGCCCGGCTCTCAGGAAAAGACTGAATTCCTGCTGTAAGTTGTAGGAATTGCATTCTTCAAACCAAAGCAAGCAATACAAGTGTATAAACCAATCCACAATTTGTCAGACATATAATTTGTTTCAGAATAAGTGCACTGAAAATAGTAAAATTTTGCTTTTCAACAAGGACTTGCCTTGTCAAGAACATAGCAAGGCAAAGTCTGTTTTTCAAATCATACTTTCTGAAGCTAGTCATACTCTTTTCATAAACTGGTAAGTCTAAAAATACCCCCAAACAAAATCTTTTGTTTAATGCACAAAGCACATCTTAGGTAAAAATAAGCCAGGCTCCCAAATGTCTTTCTTCTTTTGTTGAAGGAAGATATGAATTACAAATGTTATGGTGCAATGAGTGATTTATGATTTATGTCCTCAGGCACCAGCCTCCATTCAGTTAGTGCCAGATCCAAATATTTATCACTGTGTGAGTTTTTCTTCTCTAAACACAGGCATGAGGAAATCATGCACATCCTGTCATAGCTTAGCCTGGGCACAGTGATCTCTTTACTGTTCAGCAGAAAGAGAAGGACCTGGGCAGATTCCTGGGGGAAGATGGATGAAGGATGTGGAAAGGGGAGCTGTGTCAGTGGCAGGTGCTGACCATGGTGGTTCAGATAAGCAGGAGCTAAGAACAGTCCAGACTTATAGCTGGGAATGTGGGAAAAGGGCCCCATCCATATAGCCAGTGGCTCTCTGTTCTTAAGGAAGGTAAAGTGGAGTAGTGGCAAAAACTCAGTCGGGAAGTTGGCCAGCCTTGGGCTTGAATCCTGACTCTACCATTTACCTGCTAGGTGACATAGATACCTGCTAATGGTTTGATCCCTCTGAGTCCCAGTGTCTTCATAGTTGGGGGTAATAACACCTACCCTGCAGGGCTGCTGGGAAGTATAGAGAAAATGGATATAGATGGGCTTAAAGCTGCTGGGACAGTGAAAATTCTAAATTGAAAAGAAAATGGCCAGGGCTTGAGAAGGATACTCATGTAGAATGGGACACTGTTGAAGGCTGGGGTGGGAGCATCTACCATGTCTAGTTAGATTATGGGTACTGTGAAGTGGGCAGACTGAGAGAGCTCAATGGTCAGCATTCAGGAGAGAGAGCAAGGTAACGTGAAGGCCATGGTGTGTGGGGAGGAGGAGTCTGAAGCTGATCGAATAGTTTACGACTCAAGCAGAACTGGCTCAGATACTGAGGTGGCATGACCCGTGGTTCCAGAGACCGGGCTATGTGGAAGATGGAGAAAAGAGGGAGATTTGAGATAGCCATCCACGAGTGATTTAAGGCAAATATAAGGACACTAACATGATAGGAGCTGTCCTTCACTCATTAATCATAATGACAGAAAGATACTGTGAGTTCAGTAATGCTTTTACACAAACATATATAATTTGAAAAATTACAGCATGTCATGATAGCTAATATTGAATGCATGTGTATGTCTGCATCATCTGATTTTAATCCCCAAATTACCCTCTAAGGTGGTAACCCATTTCACAGTTGAGGAAACTGAGGCACAGATAACACCCATAGTAATGGGAAAGTTGACAATTAAACCCAATTAGTGCCATTCCAGAGTTGGCATTTATGTGGAGTCTGAGTCATGTGCAGTTACAATGACTCCATGGTCTAAGCCAGAGTGTGGGAACCACTGGTTTAAAGCACTGAGGCTTATTTGTGGTTCTGTTACTGCGTGAATGGATTCATTTGTAGATTATTGTTTCTATTCTCAAATAGGCCCATCTGAGAAATACTATGGGTCATTTAACTAAAATGTCAAGAGAACTTTAAAAGAGCTCTGTTAGTTTTCTGAATATGAAATTAATTCCAATTGTAAAAAATATAATTAGAACAACAAAAACCTTAGAAGATAAGTTGAAAGAGACATATGCTTTTAAAATTCAGAAAAAACCCAGTATGTATTTAGAGAGGAATTTGTTTTCTCCAATTACCAAAATTCAGAAACAATAATACTAAAGGTTTCAAATGAATCTAATTATTTTTTCCCCACTTTCACACAGGCTTTCGATGATTATAGCTTCAGTTTCCTTACTGTGTTATGTCTTTGTTGCCTTATCATGGGTAATCAGTAATGATATTTCTCTCAGTAATGAATCACAGAGGTTCTGATGTTCTCTGTAAATAATGTAACATGTATATGGAATGTAACATGTAACATACAAACAATGTAACATGAAAAAAATCAGTCAGTAGCCATGAATATGTATTTATTATCAGTGTCTGAAAACACTTGGCTAAGGAAAACTTACTCAAACAACCACATTTACTCATGCACAGAATTCTTTCCTCTAATAACTAATAGTACTTGAGGGCTTGGTTTATCTGATTCTTAGATAATGTATACTTTCTGCTCTTCTCCATTTCCCAGCCTTCTGGTTATTTCTTTGCATACCAGCAATGGTGGGCAGAGTGGCAAATAGAGATTAGGTAAACCCTAACTTGACTTTGTTAAACAATTCAGGTGAAATATTTCAGTTGAATTATGGCAGTGGCTGTGGTATTAATTCATCCTTACTCTTCCCAATAACACTACCCCAGCACCCTAAGAAATGGCTTTGCTTTTTTACATGCCCTTAGTATTTCCTTCTTTCTAAGATTCTAGGATGGTGCCTGATTTGCTCAGCATCTTTCCTCTCTCTGCTCACCATTTGTTATGCTCGCTGCCGATCTAAAGTCAGCTACCTTCAGCGGAGTTTTTGGAAGACGTATGCACAAAAGGAGAAGGAGCATTTGGAAAATACATTCCTGGACTATGCCAACAAACTGAGTGAGAGAAACCTGAAATGCTTTTTTGAAAACAAGAGGCCAGATATCTTCCCCATGCCCACTTTTGCTGCCTGGGAGGCTGCTTCCGAGATGCATTCCTTCCACCAAAGCCGGCAACACTACAGCACCCTCCATAAGGTGGTGGAGGACGGTCTGGACCTTAGTCCTGAGGACGATGAGACCACAATGGTACTCGTGGGTACTGCCCACAATGTGTAGCTCATCCACCATTGCTGACTCATGGTGTCCAAATTACACTCATTCTGACATCTTCCTACTGCTTAACAACAACCTCTGTATCTCAGTGTTTTCTCACATTTAGCATTTCTTTATAAGCCAATAACACAAAAGAAAGCAACTTGCTAGCTCCCAAGTGCAGACAGTGTCATCATGTGCTCAAACGGATGCTGGGAAAGTGGCAAGCACAGTGACAAAGGTGTTCCTGCACTGCTTGGGGCTGGTCTCGGTGACTTTGAGTTCTAAGATTTTAGGATTCAACAGTGGACTCATGCAAGGTCTGCCACTCTATATAAATACTGGTCATGGCATCTGGGGTCAGCAGTGGTGACTGGTGAGTGAGCAAGTGACTTTTAATAGATGGCTGTACCCAAGGGGACTTGTGGTATAGTCAGTGGAAATTCTTGTCCTGTAAATCTATCCTATTGATTTTCAAGAAGGTTTGAAATTCATTCTCTCAGAATCTGAAGATAATCAGTTCTTAAAAATAATATACTGAAAGGATATGATGCATAAAATTCAGAGTTTTTCACATATTCCCACTGCGCACTGAAAATATGCTCCTACAGATAATTTTTCCCTCTTTGACCCCTTTCTACATTAAAAAAATACACATACACACACAGAAATGTACACACACATATGTGTACTTATATTTATGACTATATTGATATAAAGACAAATATATTAATACTATATATTAAAACATTTTTTTTCAATCCAAAAGTTTGGTTATTTCTTTCAGATTTTAAAAGAAATTCAAAATACTTTTGTGAGCCCCTACAAGTATTATGGGCTCTAGGCACAGTGTCTACTGTGCTGAATGAGTAAGTCAGCCCTGATAGGAGATCTGGGGAAATTGTCCAAAGTGGTGTTGGTTTAAAAATCTTCTGAAGTTTTATATTTATCAGAAATAACACTTATTTTTCATTTTTCATTCCACATTAGTTTAAGTACATATGCTGTATGTGCCATATATATAATATATATTTAGAATTCCCCTTATACCTCTGAGTGCAACTGATGTTTAAGGGACAGGCACAGTGTTTTATATTGTGATTCACACTTTATTTCACTAAGAGTCCTTGTCTCCTAGTAGAGAATCCTGGGGATGAAACCTTTTCACCATGGAACATTATCCTAAATTGGAGAAAGGCCCTTATTATGTATAAAACCTGGAAAATACCCTTGGGAACTTGGAGGTACAGGATCTGGTGTGTGTGTAGGTGGGAGAGTGAGAGGTGGGGGTCGTGAGGTTGCAATATTAGAAATATTATTTGGGTTTTAAACATGGTGCATGATAAAAGCTTAACCACTGACACTCAAAAGAAAAAAAAGTCTTGATTTGAGGTGTTTGCCTATTTCCATGTGTAATTTCAAGTTACCAGGTTATGTCATTGAAGGCAGAATTAGGAAAAGATGCTTACTACATGCTATCTTGAGCTGGTATGAACTTTCAAAGGTTTTACAGTTGGCACTTTTTTTTTTGCATTTACATTGATTTTAGCCAAACCAACTTCAGTGTATCTTTCGTGCATCTGAGTTTCACTTTAATAAACTTAACCATGGTAAATTAAACATGGCTCAATGTCTCCAGTTGAGAGATGGCATCTTATTCTCTTCCTCTTGGATATGGCCTGAATGAACCAATAGAATGTAACCAAATGGAAGACAGACTGTAAAAGTGTTGCAGCTTATGCCTTAGTCTCTGGCAATGCTCAGCCTGGTGGAAGCCAGCCACCATGTAGGAAGTTCAATAACCCTGAGAATTCCAAGCTCTGAAGGAGGCCATGATAGCCAAGTGGAGAGACAGAGAGGTGAAGTGAGAGAGAGAGAGAGAGAGAGAGAGAGAGAGAGAGAGAGAGAGAGAGACAGGTGCCTGATCAGGCCCAGCACTTCCAGTTATTCTAGATTAGGTGCCAGACATGTGAGTGAAGAAGCCATTTTGGACATTTCAGCCTCAGTGGACATTCATGGAGAGGAACCGGGGAACCCAGCAAACAGCCAACCTCTGACCTGTGGTCCTCATGAAGCCATCCCAGCAATCAGACTTTTGAACTTCCCTGTCTGAGCCTGCAGACATTGTGCTCCCCATTATGTCTTCTTCAAATTCCTGATGCAGAAAATCATGAGCTTAAATAAATGTTTGCTTTTAAAGCCACCAAATTGTGGTAGTCTATGAAGCAATAGATAGCCTGAACACTAATACATGAAAATAAGAATTTATTAAAGGAGAGAAATTAGAGGTAAATTGAATTTAAACATAGATTTATACAAAGATTTTATGCATAGGCTTTTCCTTAATATGTTTTCCTTCTAGATCCAGTTAGCAGTGTATCTTCTATAGAATGATTTGATAGATGCTGAATAGGCACCTCTCCAAAAGAGCTTCACCAAAGCCTGAGGTTCATTTTTAATTATTTCTGGTTAAACTTGGTTTGAGAAAAACACAACTACTACTGGTTAAATTCTTTTTAAAGTAAATATTACTGGGAGGAGTAACATCTCACTTGCCATTATTAACTAAAAAATATGGTAGGGGAGGTTACAGGACAGGTCTTGAGTGAACTAGAACCAGATTGTCTTCTAGTCTTGTTCTTCAACATGTTGTATTCAAATCGTCAGCATCATATCATGAGGAATTTTGTTAGAAATGCAGAAACAGACCCTATCTCAGACCTGCTGGATTAAGTCTGCAGTTTAACAAGATCTAAGATGACTCCTATGCAACCTAAATTTTAGAAGTGCTGAGGAGGATTAAAGATGGCAGCGTGAGAGGTGAGACAGAGGCTTCCTTCTAAAACTGCATGTAATATGAAAATATAATTAATACAACAAATCCTGGTTATATTGAGGGCTGTGCCAGACTGCATACACCTGGAGAAAAGAGCAGACCTCACAGAACAGGGTAATGTACCAAAGCTGTGTCCCAGAGGGACCTGAGCTCTTCCCCCATCCCAGCTCACCAGCAGAAGGAAGAGAAACTGAGCAGGGAGGAAGTGGGGGCCTGGAACTGCTGAATACCTACTCCGGAGATCTGCTCTGGGAGCACAAACCTACATTTTTGCTTTCATGATACTCTCGTAATTACGGGGTTGGAAAGCTAAGCAGGCAGAATTAATGGAGAGACTGAGATTCCAGCCACTTGTGGAAAGCAGGGATCCATATCCAGGTGCTCTGGGACAAAACCTTATACCTGTGTGCTCGGTCCACTGGTTCAGACAGTGGAGACAGGCACAGCAGCCGGGAAGCAGGAAACAGCGCGTTCCTCCCCGCAGGCACCAATACCACTCCCCTGTGGTGTTGACCCCCGACATTGATTTAGGGGCTGAGCACTTCCAGAGAGTAGAGCTTCTGGACACTAGACGGTGCCATATACAAATATGAAAAGCCAAAGGAACCTGGTCCAGAGTAAAATTATTAATACAACTCCCAAGAAAGATTTAAATGACATGGACCTTGGGAATTTGCTGAAAAGGAGTTCAAACTAAAAATCATTAACATGCTAATGGAGGTAGAGAAACATATTCAAGAACTCAGAAATGAATTCCGGTCAGATATCCAATCATTGAAGAACACAATGGAGGGTACTAAAAGCAGGTTGGATATGGTGGAGGAGATGATAAATGAAATAGAAACAAGAGAAGAGGAATTCAAAGAAGCTGAGGCACAGAGAGAAAAAAGGATCCCCAAGAATGAAAGAATACTGAGAGAGCTGTGTGACCAATCCAAACGGAAAAACATTCGCATTATAGGGGTACCAGCAGAAGAAGAAGAGAGAAAAAGGGATAGAAAATGTCTTTGATGAGGTAATTGTTGAAAACATCCCCAATCTGGGAAAGGAGATAGTCTCTCAGGCCATGGAGGTGCACAGATCTCCCCACACAAGGGACCCAAGGAAGACAACACCAAGACATATAGTAATTAAAATGGAAAATATCAAGGATAAAGACAGACTATTAAAAGCAGCCAGAGAGAGAAATAAGATCACATACAAAGGAAAACCCATCAGGCTAACATCAGACTTCTCAGCAGAAACTTGCAGGCCAGAAGAGAGTGGCATGATGTATTTAATGCAATGAAGCAGAAAGGCCTGGAACCAGGATTACTTTATCCAGCAAGGTTATCATTTAAATTTGAAGGAGGGATTAAACAATTTCCAGATAAGCAAAAGCTGAGAGAATTCACCTCCCACAAACCATCTCTACAGTCTATTTTGGAGGGACTGCTATAGAGGGAAGTGTTCCTAAGGTTTAATAGCTGTCACCTTATTAGGTGGAAATAAAAGCACAGTAAAGAAAGTAGAACATCTAATTACTAAGACAGAGAGGAAATAAAAGCACAGTAAAGAAAGTAGAACAGCTAATTATTAAGCAAATGCAAAATTAAATAAACTATCCCCAAAGTAAATCAAGGGATAGACAAAGAGTACAGAGTATGATACCTAATATATAAAGAGTGGAGGAGGAAGAAAAAGGAGAAAAAGAAAAGAACCCTTAGATTGTGTTTATAATAGCATATTAAGTGAGTTACGTTAGACTCTTAGAAAGTAAGGAAGTTAACTTTGAACCTTTGGTAACCACAAATCTAAAGCCTGCAATGGCAAAAAGTACATACCTATCGATAATCACCCTAAATGTAAATGGACTGAATGCACAAATCAAAAGACATAGAGTCACTGAATGGATAAAAAAAACAAGACCTATCTATATGCTGCCTATAAGAGACTCATCTTAAACCAAAAGACATACACAGTTTAAAGGGTAAGGGAAGAAAAAATATTTCACACAACTAATAGAGAGAAAAAAGCAGCTGTTGCAGTACTTGTATTAGACAAAATAGACTTCAAAACCAAGAAAGTCACAAGAGACAAAGAAGGATATTACATAATGATAAAGGGGTCAATCCAACAAGATGATTTAACCATTATAAATATCTATGCTCCCAACACAGGAGCACCTATATATGTGAAACAACTACTAACTGAATTAAAAAGGGAAATAAAATGCAATGCATTCATTCTAGGAGACTTCAACACTCCACTCACTCTGAAGGACAGGTCAACCAGACCGAAGATAAGTAAGGAGACACAGGCACTGAACGACACATTAGAACAGATGGACCTAACAGACATCTACAGAACTCTATACCCAAAAGCAGCAGAATAAACATTCTTCTCAAGTGCACATGGAACATTTTCAAGAATAGACCATATACTAGTCCACAAAAAGAGCCTCAGTAAATTAAATAAGGTTGAAATTGTACCACCCAGTTTCTCAGACCACAAAGGTATGAAACGAATATTAAATTACATAACAAAAATGAAAAATCCCACAAACACATGCAGGCTTCACAACATGCTCCTAAATAACCAATGGATCAATGACTGAATAAAAACAAAGATCAAGCAATGTATGGACACAAATTACAACAATAATTCAAAACTGCAAAATCTGTGGGACACAGCCAAGGCTGTGCTAAGAGGAAAGTATACTGCAATTCAGGCCTACCTCAGGAAAGAAGAACAATCACAAATAAGCAGTCTAAACTCACAATTAATGAAACTAGAAAAAGAAGAACAAATGAGGCCCAAAGTCAGTAGAAGGAGGGACATAATAAAGATTAGAGCAGAAATAAATAAAATCAAGAAGAATAAAACAATAGAAAGAATCAATGAAAGCAAGAGCAGGTTCTTTGAGAAAACAAACAAAATAGATAAACCCTTAGCCAGACTTATCAAGAAAAAAAGAGAGTCTACACACATAAACAGAATCAGAAATGAGAAAGGAAAAATCACTATGGACACCACAGAAATACAAAGAATTGTTAGAGAATACTATGAAAAATTATATGGTAACAAACTGGATAACCTAGAAGAAATGGACAACTTTCTAGAAAAATACGACCTTCCAAGGCTGACCAAGAAAGAAACAGAAAATCTGAACAGACCTATTACGAGCAATGAACCTGAACTCATAATCAAAAAACTACCTAAGAACAAAACCTCTGGAACAGATGGCTTCACTGCTGAATTGTATAAAACATTTAGTGAGGACCTAATACCCATCCTCCTTAAGGTTTTCCAAAGAGTAGAAGAAGAGGGAATACTTCCAAACTCATTCTATGAGGCCAGCATCACTCTAATACCAAAACCAGGTAAAGACACCACAAAAAAAGATAATTACAGACTCATATCCCTGATGAACATAGACGCAAAAATATTCAACAAAATATTAGCAAACCAAATTCAAAAATACATCAAAAAGGTCATCCATCATGATCAAGTAGGATTTATTCCAGGGATGCAAGGACAGTACAACATTCGAAAATCCATCAACATCATCCACCACATCAACAAAACAAGGACAAAAACCATATGATCATATAAACAGATGCTGAAAAAGAATTCAACAAAATTCAACATCCATTCATGATAAAAACTCTCAACAAAATGGCTATAGAGGACAAGTACCTCAACACAATAAAGGCCATATATGACAAACCCACAGCCAACATCATACTTAACAGCGAGAAGCTGAAAGCTTTTCCCCTAAGATCAAGAACAAGAGAAGGATGCC